TTTAATCAATGGAATATCATTTCATGAATAATTTAAATAGAAAAAGGTTTTAAAATCTCCCTTTTGGCTTTGGGCCGAAAGTCGGCCCAGGTCTCTCTCTCCCTCTCCTCGGCCTGCTTGCGTCCGGCCCGTTTGGCCCAGTCCGCCGTCCCTCCCTCCTCTCTCTCTCAGTGCAGCTGACAGGTGGGGCCCACCTGTCATTCGTCTTCAACCTCCGGCCGCTCCTAGCCGCGCCGCAAGCCGCCGCCTCCTTCCAAAATCCGGCCGCCACTTTCCTTCTCCGGCCAAATCAATTGAGGGGAAATAATCTCCTCGATCTCCTCTTCCTTTTCTCTTTTGGAATCTTTGGCTAATATAAATAGGTAATATACCATCGAAGAATGGATGGTATCTGACAAGCTAACGAAATCTCCGGCTAAGAAATAAAGTTGCATGCAACGTAACCTTGAGAAATAAATTAGTCATTTTGTTTTAACTTTATGCGTTGGGAGAAGAGAAGGTAAGAAATATACTGCTATGTCCAACCATAACCTTAGTAAGAAATATATTGCTATGTCCAACCTTAACCTTAAGCTCAAGACTAGACCAGAAGAAATAAAAAAATAGTTCATACCTTTTGCAACATGCATGGTGTTTTTCATTCATATTGAATAGAGTTTTATTTTCATGAATGGGTCCTAACTTAAGATCAAGAAAATACTATATACATGTAGCATATGCTATATACAAAAGAACATCAAATTGTGAGTCCCGTCTAATTGCTCTAGTTACATTAAACATTGAGGATGGCATAAGTATCAAACTTTGACCCCTCAGTTTCATATTATAAATCGTTTTAACTGTTTTATTTTCAAAACTTCAAGTTTAACCAAATTTATATAAAAATTTAGCAACATTTAGAGATTCATTAAATCTAGAACTGAATGTATTTTAATAATATATTTGTTTTGTTTTGAAATGTTACTTATATGTTATACGTGAGAGAATTACTAGCACATCCAACAGTGCATGTATTTTTTTCCTTATTAAATTTTTTCTTAAATTATTTATCCGATCTACAATCCGATTACACCACTGTGTGCTTATTGCAATTAAATCTTTATAACAAGATCTTACATGATTATATTACGACGAAAAAATATTTATGTTCTAAATTACTTTTATTATATATGTAAGTTACTTTTATCATATATATAAATTACTTTTATATTTGATTAAATTACTTTTTAGACATTCAATGAACTATTTACTTTAAAAATGTTAGTTCTATAATATGTTGATTAAATTTAATTTCTAGATAGACTTATGTTTTTACCCCAACAATAGATTTACTTTTAATGTCATGACAAGTTGCTTTATTTTCTAAGTTACTTCTATAATATATGTAAATTACTTTAAGGCTTTGTTGAATTTACTTTTATATGCCTAACAAGAAATCTATAAATAATTTAGATATTATATAAAAGTAATTAATTTGTAATTTTTCATAAAAATATAATCGTGTGACATCTTGTTATACAGACTTTATTGCAATGAATAGAACAATATAATCAGATCGTAAATCAGCTAAGTATTTTAAAAGGAAATTCTATAAGATGACAAAAAAAGACATACACTGTTGTTGGGTGTACTAGTAACAACCGGATCTGATTGGTTGTACTAGTAACAACCGGATCTGAGAGTGAGGTTACTGGTTATATATATCTAACAAATAGCCGTTGATTTTCATTAAATTTGATGGGTCCATTATTTACAATCATTAGATTTATGTTTAACAAAAAATCCACCTCCTAAATGGATCCAGCCCCACCGAGCATTAGGTCATACGTACGTTAAATATGTATAGTTACGTACTAAGATATTATATATGCATAAGTTACGTACCTTCTCTTCCTTCGATTCCCTCCTGTATTCCACCAATTCCTTTTTAAAGTAAAATTTTATATTAACAAAATTAAGTAACAACGATATCTAAATCATACAACTATTTTTTTACCCGCCAATATCTTTGTGCTCCTAGGCCGTTATGTGGCATTCTTCAATCCCACCATCGATTTTTATTTAAATCGGTGGACACATTATTTTACACCGTCCGATTAGATCTATTTTAAAAAATTATGCTTTCTATATCCGAGATAATCCGTTTACCAAAAATATTTATGTACGTACATTGAATGAAAAAAAGATATGTACAACAATATATAACCATTGAGGCCTTTTTAAAATAGAATCTTATATACTATAGAACTCTAAAGGAAAACTCTAAAGGAAAATATATGTACAACAATATATAACCATTGAGGCCTTTTTAAAATAGAATCTTATATACTATAAAAATAAAATTTATTACTCTACAAACATGGTCATTTGGTGCTTCTACAAGCACTCTTAAACCACCATGTTTTAAGACAAAAAAAAGATATGCATTTAGGTACTGTTTATTCGAAGAGAAAAAATAAAGAACATAGTACATATGATTAAAAAAATATAAAAACAATAATAACAAAGAACGTAGTAATACGATAAAAAAACTATAAAAACATAAAAAAACATTAATATACTGTTCACCTATGAAAAAACAAAGGATATGTATCATGTGCACACGATTAAAACTCTAAAGGAAAATATATGTACAACAATATATAACCATTGAGGCCTTTTTAAAATAGAATCTTATATACTATAAAAATAAAATTTATTACTCTACAACATGGTCATTTAAATTAATGGACCCATTATTTTATACCATTACATGAGCTCGCTTCCTTTTATTTTCCTTTTTTATACGAGAGAAACTGTTTACCGGATGTTCGATTAAAAAAAAACCAAAGTAACATACGTATATACCATTAAACAAGCTATAAAACCCAAAAAAAAATACATATGTATGTTCGTACAACCATCGACAAAAAATATAGACAATCCTCAAGATAAGATTTTATATACAATAAAACCAAATTTATTACTCTAGAAATATGCAAGTTAAACTAGATCCATATAAATATCAAATCAAAGGTATTTAAACACCCATTTTTAAATTAATTTTAAATTATAATCCATTGTATTCAAATGTTGATGACTTATCATAGTTATATTATGATGCTAAATACATTATAACAAATGGAGATAATATATAATAATTAATATTATAATAATTTTCAAATAATTTAGGTGACATATAATAATTAATTTCATCATAATCTTTGAATAATTTCACATCATATTTTGTGGTGTCAAATATCACTTGGCAAATATATAACACTAACTGAAATCTGTGAAAGCGAAACAACATTATGTTTTGTCAGTTATATATGATTTAATTTTAATTTATGGAGACTAAGATTCTCAAATGTTTTGTTTCAGATTTTTCAAAACTATTTCAATGGTATTTCTAGGCAATGATTTCGCTATAATACGACCCCTTAATCCATACGTTTTTCCCTTTGCCAAATTGGTTTGGTAAAAAATAGAACAATCATATAACATATGCATTAAACTACTCATGATATTTTTTTGTCAAGTAACTCTAATATGTCGGGCATAAGTGATAGTTGATAGATGTATGCCATATACTCCCCACTGACGTGACCGTAAGTGCACTCCAACAAATTAGTTATTGTAGATAATTTTGATAAATAAATAGATTTTAAAATTAGTAAAGGTGTCTGATGCAATTATGAACAAGTGACGAAAACAAACTAGACGCTAAAATAGAGATCTTTGTCAAAATATGAACAATGATATAATGATATGATACTCTGAAGATTGTTACGGTCATATATCTATTTAGCGATACATTTTTTAATGATCAACCTCACTCATTTCAAAAGAGAATATTGTATATATACCATAAAAATTTGGGTAGTACTGATTTAATACTATAAACAAATTATAACTACACAAAACGTAAAAACAACTATTTTTTATGTGAAGAATTATTTTCATTACATCTATCTTTTCTTGCTTTCTCTAAAGGGCACTGAGGAAGTATAGTAGGGGCATACATTTGGTTCAGTTGAGGTAGCCCCAGTGGAGACCACCATTGACAATAGTGCTCAACTTTCTACTTACTGATGCAATCGTCTTTGAGGGTGTTGATAGTGAATTAAGCATTAAAAGTACATTATACGCTGGCCTTGAGAGGCACGAGTATGTCGATTCGGAACCCATGTTTAAAGGCAACAAAAAAATAAAGAGTTGGTAGCTCCACCTTTTAGAGAGGACATTCATGTCTAATTGTTAACGGTGATATCCCATTAACCAATAGAAGCATCATTTTAAGAATATTTATTTATAGATTTAGAAATAAGTGTTGACATAAACATTTAGGTATGTAGTGGAGACAAATGTTTTATGTATTAATAATGTATTAGGCTTATTTTGGTGGTACAGATGCAGTTTCATTTATTAAAATGGCATCTAGCGACAATGATAATAAGTAATAGTGACAATAGGTGAGTTTACATAATTTGGACAAAAGTGATTTTTTTAATATAAGAAACATTCTTTTCGTTTATATTAAAGTATTAAAGTCTACAATATATTTCACAACATAGATTTTTGTTATTATGAGGTAAAATATACAATTTCTTATACGCGTATGGTGAGATATGACTTAATTCTCGTAACATTATTTATATAAACATAATAAATAAGATGCCTGCGCATTCGCGTGGACTAACTTCCTAATTCCTATAAACCTGATCAAACTAAAATAAATTTATATAGAAAATAATCTAAACGATTTATAATATGAAACATAGGAACTAGACGTATAGAGCTCAGTCTCCCGTTTCTTGTATCTATGCTCTCCGATCCTTGAGCGTTAAGCTAGCGTTAGATTTCGATGAGAACTCGTCCTCCTCTACCGTGCCAAGAACGGATACCAGTAGTACCAGTACAACACCTGATAGGAAATTTCCGAGCACGATGTCAAGCACGTGCTAACCCGGCTGCTAGTATTTCGCCAGGGAATTTCCGCGTTATAAATAAAAACGGAGTCGTGTAGTGCTCACTGCACCACACGCAGCCGCACTCGTCTACTCCACAAGATTCCTCTGATTGCTCGCGGGCAGCTAGGCTCCACGAAGATGGCACCGGTGAAGGTGTTTGGTCCGGCCATGTCGACGAACGTGGCGCGGGTGCTGGTGTGCCTGGAGGAGGTCGGTGTCGAGTACGAGCTCGTCAACATCGACTTCAAGGCCATGGAGCATAAGAGCCCCGAACACCTCAAGCGCAACGTAAGCACACGCTAACGCTTGTGCTTACTCTGCTTTTGTTTTCCTGTGCTCCCAGCTTGATCTCTGTGCTTTCCTCTCGCAGCCGTTTGGTCAAATGCCAGCTTTCCAGGACGGGGATCTGCTTCTCTTCGGTCTGTAGTTCTTCTGTACTCTTGGACAGGAGTCGTGAATAGTTTGGGAGACATCATGAGAACACAGAACTAAACCAATCGACTGGCATGCATATTCGGCAGCTAATTGAGATTTTACAACTAAACAGAGCTTTTTGCAGGGAGTTCCACTGCGATGCTCTCTATCGGTAGTATAAAGTAATCTGAATCGTTGATTTCATTTGATCGAAGTGCTTAAATCTAAGTTTTACTAGCATCAAAGCTATCAGTAGTAGAAACGTGAAGGGAAATTATTTAAAAAAATGCCAGCCGGAGGACTGGGGATCCAGAGCCCTTTTTCCTTTTGTTTTTCTTGATAGAATATGAGCGATATCCGCGATAGTGAGATGGATGATCACCGACCAACCTATATAGAGAAAAACATAAATTACCCTAGTCACTGTATGAGTAAATTATTAATTTACCTTTAATAATAAATAATTCAGATTATTTCCACCGATAATATAATACTACAAATACATAGCATCACATCGCTCATTTGCGGCACAATAGATTTTCATATGTTTACATTACAAATAAATTTTTTTCACAGATTTACCATCTAAAATATTCAGATTTAAGCAAATAAAACTGGCTAAATGCATTTCCTTTTCAGAGTCCCGCGCGGTAGGAAGGTACATCCTTCGCAAGTACAAGACCAGCGAGGCCAACCTACTGCGGGAAGGCAACCTGACTGAGGCGGCCATGGTGGACATCGGGATCGAGGTGGAGATACACCAGTACTATCCGGTGATCTCGTCGATCGTGTATGAATGCCTCTTCAACCCGGCCATGTACGGTGTCCCGACCAACCAAAAGGTGGTCGATAATAGCCTGGAGAAGCTGAAGAAAGTGCTGGAGGTGTATGAGGCCCGTCTATCGCAGAATACGTATTTGGCTGGCAATTTCCTCAGCTTTGTGGACCTCAGCCACTTCCCCTTCACCTTCTACTTCATGGCGACGCCATACGCTTCACTACTCGACAAGTACCCTCATGTGAAGGCATGGTGGGATGGGCTCGCGGCGAGGCCCTCCATAAAGAAGGTCACCGCTGCCATGGTTCTTCCCCTGAAGGCATAAGTAGGAACTTCAATTAATTGTTCAGCGATGGGATTGTTCTTGTCGAGCATGATCCATCTTGCTGTGGGGTGCTTACTGTTTAGGAAGATGTGCACACATGCACGGGCACCTTATTTAATATAATTACGAATGTCCGTGTATGGGTGACTTTATATTAAAATATTCTTTTACCATATCTAAATTATAATTGAACTTATTTAATGTGCTAGAAACATTGGTTATGGTTTTCTTCTAATTACCCTTGCAGCACATAAATTCTAAAGTAAAATTACTTGAAACTGTAAATTGAACAGTTTTCAATTTATAAGAAAATATTATGTCGAAACAATAGATGTAGTTTCTATGAGAAAAATTTGAGTATTTCGACTCCCCACAGGGATATCTTATCCCTACCAAAAAGTCCAATTTTTGTATTAGATTCTATTTGAAATTTTAGATATGGTCATTCTATTAGTCCTACTAAAATATTTGAATATTTATATTTAGAATGGGTTTTAAACCCAACAATTATTTTTTAAAAACTACATAAATTTTGAATTCTTTTTTCCAGCCATTTTTTAAAATTTTGGAGAATTCCACTCTATGAAATATCTTTGAAATGATTTGATCTCTTCAATTTGGGTTAAAAATATATGTGGGTTCAGCCTACAACCTAACATTGGTAAAAGTCATATGTTCTAAATTATCTCTCTTCAAATGAGTAAGAAATATTAAAATAGAGGTCATATAATTCAAATTCCACTGTTAACAATAATAAATACACATTTCTAGACTATTCTACGCTAAAAGTTAAGAATTTACGATGTAGCATAGCAAGTTTTACCAAAAAGAAATAAATGAACATGGTCTTTAATTTCCATATGGAATTGACTCCCTATATTGGTAAGGACACCTTATTATTGTTTCACTGCTAAGATTCCTTGGTGCAACCCACAAGCTTGGTACGAATATTATGATGTTCAACTGAGCACGTTTTAATTTTTAAAATGTTGTCTATAACAAATTAACACTAGATGGGGTACGCATTATGACCTAAAAATTGATATCATTCAATGATTTTTCTCTAATTTATTAGTGACTTCATAAATCATATATATAATTTGGTCTCCTAAAACAATCATTTATTGATAAAAGCATCAAAATGAAATTGTATTGGTAAATAGCCCGAGAAATTAATTAAGTTGATAGAAAGTTGTTAGTTGTCTAATGGGATATAAGTAATGGGTCTACCGGCTTTATTGAAAATTAAGATGGGATATTTTGATTTTTAGTAACGAATTTTAGTTTTTTTTTATTTAGTGGAGGCCTCAGAATGGATGTGGGTTCGGAATATTATTTTTTCTGTTAGCATTTAAATATAGTCAATATAGATATTGAAGTATTGACTTCACTAAAAAATATAATAGTTTAAGCATATCATAAGTTGTATGACTTAAAAAGTTATTATTATTTTATTTATATTGTTCCTATAAGTGCTAGCAAGAGGAGAAAGAGAAGAAAAGGGGCAGTGGGACAGCTAGCTAGACCTGATATGTGGAGGTCCATTTGTGGTTTTTCCCATAAAGATAATTTTAATTTCAATTATCTTTTCTCTTGTCATAAATAGAAAAATAAGAGAAAACGAACGACACACACCGCATGAGGACAGGGAGGGTGGAATGCTTTTTTGTTTAAAACAATTATTTATTTAATGATCTAAAATAATGTATTGGATGTTTAAGTCGAAACCAACAATCGGATGTTTTTTTTTCTTATAATTTTGTATGATTTTTTTAACTTAAGAAAGACCCGTAGTGGCTTAGAAATATTTATAGGATGTTTAATATACTTTATGTCTTTAACATTGTATGGGCGTGGAGGGAGGAAAGGAGGTTTGGTAGTTTTTCTTAAAATATAAGTCTAATAACAACCTATATGATATGTTCGTCGATTTAAGGCGAAACCAATGATTGGATGGTTTGTTCTTAAACTTTTATGATCTTTTTCTAATTTAGAAGTGTCACAGAGTGGTTTAGAAACATTTATGAGGATGGTTAACAGGCTTTAACGATGCATGGGAGCACGGAGGGACTTTTGGGATGCTTTTCTTAAGAAAAAGATATATCTAATAACCTAAAATAAAGTAAATCGATGGTCGAATGTTTTATTTCTTTTTAGATTTTCTCTAATTTAAGAGTGCTTTATGGATGGTTAGAAATTTCTATATGATGTTTAATGGAATATTTATTAGGAGAGGATAGAGGAAGAGCTAGCTAGATCTAGTAGATTGATGAGCTTTTTAGGCCCTTAATTTTTTTTATTTCAATTTTTATGGGGATGAAAAAAAGAGAAAAAAAAAGGAAACGGGGTCAGTAAGTAAGCTGCAGAGGGATCGTACGCACGTTGGTACGTTGGACGGACGGAGATTATGTTTTCATGCAAAGATAAATCTAACGATAGTGGGTGCACCAATTTAAAGAAAATTGACGGTCAAATTTTTTTCTATTTTATTAGAGTGGCATATGGCGGCTCGAGAGTGATTATAGGATGCCACATGGTAGCTTAAGAGTGTTTGTAGGAAGTTTAATGGACTTTTAGTATATAATAGATAGAAGATAGATAGATAGATAATAGATAGATAAGGTAGCGCTGAATTGCTTGGCTGTGCAATTTGCTTGACGGTTGACCATGTTTAGTGTATCTGTGTCATCATAAGAACTCAAAGTATTGGATCAATACTTGATAAGATTGCGTCTTCCAAAAATTTGAGAACAATTCTTACAATGAAAACTGTCTCTCCTGTTATAATCTTGTGAAGGTTACTCATGTCCAGCCATGCAGTGTCTGCTCCTTGGTTTAGGGCACATTCAATAGTAAAGACAATTATGGTCACTTAGACAATATAAACCGAGTCTTTATAACAGTTGAGACGATAAAAGTTCTAACCAGTAACTAAAAAAATATTCTTTTTGTTACTATTCTTTCTATGTTTCTTTCTCATGCAACTATGTTTCCATATTATGGAGGCTAAGAATCATTGTCGAGCCGTTGTTACCCATAACAATGATGTTTTATCTCTCCTCTTTCTCTCTTCCATATGATCAGCAAATATTCCTAATTAGCAATATTAAGAGACCATTATTTACAACCATTGTGCATCCCTAATGATGGCTGCCGTGGGTCCGGCTTGCTCTAGTGACTTTGCTCCCCTAGCTTCCCCGAAAATTTGTGTGGTTCCTTGGGTAAGGTATCATTACTGCTGCGGGTTCACAACAAAAACCATCCGTGTTAGCACCCGTATTGAATTTATTATGAATTGCAAGTGATATTTAGAACAATGCTATGATTCATCGTTAACGGACAATGAAGTTGAAATATCGTTGTCAATTTATAATAAAAACTGACAGTGATATGCCACCGGAACCGGCTAAACAAATAGATTGAGCCAATATTTGCAAATCATGGTGTAAGAACTCCACTAAACTCTTACCCCTTCTTGTTGTCACCTGAACCTCACAATTTCCTATCTCGCCCTCCCTCTCCCTCTCACTCTGCGAAGCCTACCTCCTTCCCCCACCACTCTCCCTTAATGGCTCAATTGATCTGATGGAGCGGGGGACTGTCGAGGAGTGATGCTATGGCAAAACAGTAGTGGTGTGGTAGCTTGCTGAGGAGCAGGAATACACGGAACTCTGATGGTGGTGGTAGTACCAACTACCAAGGCTGCTAGATCCACAATCACTTCCTCTGCCTCCCCGAGCATGGTAAATTGGCACAAGTGATGGTGGTACGGGCGTGCGCAGAGTGGTAGATGAGCCTGAGAACTAGAGTGGACATTCGACTGTGATGATGCTGGTGTCTCCATGACTACTGGATCCACTAATGAGGAGGTTGGGGCTACCGGATCCACTATGACGTCACTCCCTCTCCCTTCCCAAGAATGGCAACTGTGATGAACGATGACAGGCTATCTCGATCAAAAGGTTGTTGGATCTGGCCAAGCGAGCTTTAGGTCACCACATTTTGACGCTCTAACAACTGGCACAGATAATGGCGATATGCAGGATCAACGATCATGGGCGATGACAACAAAACATGACATGATGGCGAGAGTGGTTGGCGCTTCAGCACCTCGAGGAGCATTTGGGGGCCCAAGGAGCTGTCGAGGAAGTCGGCTCCAGGTTGGAGGGAGCAGGAGATAGGTTGGTTGTTGACTATCCTTTTTGGCTCCATGAAAGCATTATCAATGCTGATTCTTTTAATTTTCCTTCATGAATCAAATACGAGAATAATTTTTGATATCCACATAGCAAAAATGTATAAAAATTTTGGCCATTTTTAAGTCTGTCACACCACCCTATGCCAATATCTTGATCTTCGATTGTCACATCTTTTTCCTCTCCATCACTTCATCTTGGCCAGAAGAACCCCATGTGTGCTTCTCCGTCACCATATGCAACCGCTACTAGAATCCACTATCCTTTCTTTAGGTCATAACATGTTGAATCTCTTCACCGCAGTCACCTACATCTCCTACTAACCTCCTAGCTTTGACCCCACGATTCCTATGGCACTATTGTTTCCTAGCCATGCTGCCACCTCCACCTCCCATGATAGGGTCACTCACACCCTCTGCTTCCTACTAAGCCCATGATCTCCGACCCTTATGTAGCACTACCGCTGGCTCACTAGAAAAGTAGAAGAAGTGATCTAATGGTACAAAATTCGAGTCAAATCATAATGACAACAACAATCTTTTGAATAGTGTTTACTGACAACATGTACTGTACTTAAAAACACCACAATCCTTACCATCAAGGCTGCATATCATCTGCACTTACAAACATTAAAATGGTATTATTTAGGAGAAACAGGAAATGATCAAACAATATATAAGCTTCCTAAATGCAATAACTTCTTCTACGGAGAAGCCCCTGAGAGAAGCACATTGGCGCGGTTGTGAATTCCACGATGGCACATACACAACACCCATTCTAGATTGTCAATTATCTTGGGAGCAAGATCATCCAAGTTCTTTTGGTGCATCATTCATTATCACATTGATCTAAAGCTGATAGTTTTGGTATTCAGCCGGAGGAGTCTCTCAGAGTCCAACATTCTTTTGTCCTTGTAGCACTCCGGAGTGTCAATTGTAGGCTACAACAAGTTGGTCTCCACCTCATCATCTATGTTGTACAAGATGACATGGGCTGGGACATTGA